CACTGAGGACACATCTAATAGTTTTCTGTCTCGCTCAGTGCTGTGATAGAAATGTGTCCAGTAAAGTAATTAGTTTGTTGTACTTAGCCAGTGGTGCAGCGCTAATCCCATCACAACATTAGCAAAAGCAGAAGCTTATCACACTGTATGGTAATTGGCGTCTCAGTGTAAGCCATACACTGGGCATTATATGGGATCCTACAGGGAGTGTCACTGTTGTAAAACGACATAATCACATCTTGCGTTTCAGCTTAAATGTTTCAGTCACAGGTGAAAATGAGTTAGTTTGTAATTTTCCATGTTGGCTCATCCTACCTCATGACACATCGCTCTATGTCAGACATCAACACATCAAGACGTATTCATATGAGCCAAGAACATTGTTTCATCCTGATCATGTTTATTGTACCTGAGGCTTTCTGTGTAGTGAAGTCAGACCTGAGGGCAGCAGCAGGGAGCATCAGTCATCATAAGGGTTAAAGGTTAACAGCCGACCATCCGAACATCACCTCTGGGCGGTCACTAAATGACTCTGTCTATCTGTCCGTGTCTGTTGGTCCTCACATTGAAGAGGTTATAAATGCAGCACTGTGCCAGTAATTGCTCCACACATCTCTTCATCCCGTGGGAAACATCAAAATGTGCTGTCTGTCTGGAAAAGTGTAACAAAGGAAATCAATACCAACCTCCTGGACTGAAAAAAATGAGTAATTTTCACACTCACTGTAACATCTGTGTGAAACATTTCTTTAAATTCAAATGTGATACCATAAACACGCACTGTACGGTTGATACTTCTTATTCTTCATGTAGTCTACTAATTTAATATCACCTATTTACACATGGCAGTAATAATTTGAAGAGTTTGGTACGTTATCCTTGCAGCTAGATCACATTACCCTGGGTGTACACGGGACACAACAGCCTCCTGTCTCAGCTGCCTGAACAGAGCCAGGTCCACTCTGTGTAACAAACACAGGAGCTCATTGTGACTTCCAGCCGCCTGGCGCCGGCGCAGAGAGAGCTCAGGTGAGCCACAGTGTCTGCACATGAAGTCAAAAGACTGAACATTAACAGGAGAGAGTCCACTGCGAGAGCTTTGGGCAGATACATTTAAATGGTAAAAAAAAATAGAGACTTCACTTGGTTTCTGAGCACAGCAGCAGCAGAATCAATACAGCTGAGCTCACAATAGTGTTGGAAAATCACAGAGGTGGAGATTTAAGGCAAAAAATGGGTTATATACTGTAGGTGTATGGATATTGATGTTTCTAACAAGAGAGCTGAAATATGGGAAAAGATTTGTTCCAGAATGAAAGTTTAAAATTGACTCTCACTTCCTACATTACAGTGAAAGTGGAGAAAAGAAAAAAACACATTCTTCCTCTTGAGGAAATGTATAAAAGCGATAAAAATGCAGCATTTATCATTTCAATACGCTTCTGCTGATACAGCCTCACATGGTCCTAATCTGTAGCTCATGGTGACTAATGTCAGCAAACTTCACATAGACATTGTGGAACTGAGTCAGTTTCCTGACTTCACAACGCTTCACTTCTGATACACAATGATTTAGCATTTATTATTCATTTACTATTCAAGTCATTCACACTTTAACATTCACTTTAACCAATGAAAGATGTAATAAAATATTACAAACACTGATTCAGTTGGCTCAACACATGTTTTATATATTATAATATCACACAGAGTTTATACTCTAATACTTAAATATGGTTTTTAGTCATTAGTCACTTTATTTTATTCTTATTTCATTGTATCTATGTTGTGAATTGTAATTTATTCTGTTTAAGCTCTTATTTCATTATTCATTTTCTTACTTTTTTTTTTTTGCTAATGTTATTATAACTTTTTTATTGTATCTTATTGGCAGCTTTCTTACTTTTAGCTCATCAGTCATCTGTGAAGCACTTTGAACTGCACTAACCAGTATGGAAAGTGCTATACAAATAAAGTTTAATCGATTGATTGATTGCTTGTATATACTGTATTTATTAGGCCTTTATTATATTAGTTTTTTTTAATATATTTTATAAACTACCAGTTTAATTATAACATTTTCTCCATAAATTGAAATGCAACAAATACTTGAACCTGCAGTTAATTAAAGTAAATATCAGAGTACAAATGAATACATTTGCCATTACACATCACAATGTATTTTATTTGTATTGCTTTAATATAATCTAAGCATTACCAGCAACAGGAAAGGTCTCATATATATAGAAAATGTCCATTGGTGCATGAAATTCGATCACTTTATTGAATATGTTAGCACTCTGCTGTCTCCTCTGCAAAAAAATCGAGTCAAGCAGAATTCAACAATGAAGACACTTTTCATTCAGTCTATTGACTTGTTTTTATTAGAGCCTAAATTGCTTCAGGCGCTGAACGAGGGAAACATCACACTGCTGTTTGTCTCCTATCTCTTCCCCAAAGACGAAAGGAGCCAAAGGACCTTTAAATGAGCTCTTCAGTCTTTTATGGTCCTGCGGATTAAGACTCCCGGGACAAATGAAAAGCACGTATCTGTTGGCTGCAGGCCACATGTGGTGGCGAGCCGGATCTGCTCTGCGTTTCAGCAATTTTTTTATTATTTTTTTATTTTTTTAGTATTATTATTTGGAATAAGCGTGGCTTTTGTCTCAGCTGAATGCTTTGCTTTCATCTGTCACAGTTTGTGGTGAAATACAACAAAGCAGACTGTGAATGAACCACATTTATTACAAGCTGTGGATGAATGCGTGCAGCGGTGGGGAGCTCAGACTCTGGAAGAGGCAGGAGTAAACTTTAAGAAAGGTCAGTTTCTAAAAGAGTTTGGAAAATAAATCAAGCTCAGTTTGCTGAAGCGCAAAAAACAGTTCCATGCAACAGTGTGGCTTTGAATGCACCTCCAGAAATGTTGAGCTTTCATACTGGCTACAGTGCTTGTTGTTTGGCTTTTTAAAAGGTTAATTCACACTAAGCATGTTTCACCTGGCTCCACCCCAGGCAATGATGACCCAGTTAAAAGTAAAAAGACAAAACCCTTGCTATGACATCAGTGCGGTGCTGCAGCCGGTTTCTTGTCTCAGGACTGATTTCATCTTGTGGATTTGAAAAGAGGTCAAATTAAAGTCACTGCAGGAGTTTATGTGATGTTTGTGCAGCCTGCTTTCATTTCTGACCTCCCAAATCTAAAAACTAATTGGAAAATGACATCAAACTGTTCTGAAATAAAAGCTCCACCAATCAGTATTTTTTCATATCAATCAAACGTGTGAAGTAAAGCCACAGAGAATTGTCACCAGGGCTGCAGCTCTGTGAAGCTTTTTACCCTCTTTTAGCTCGTTGTTTTGGTTCTATATCACTCAGCAAACAATCTCTGATAAACCCACTGTCCACTACCTGCCCAGCACCAATTAGAAAACACTCCCAGTTAGAGAGAAGCTGGTGCACATAGTGCAGCATTTAGCAGCTGAAGAGCCAGATATTTCCCTCAGGAGCTGGTGGAGAGCAAACACAGAGCTAAAAGAGAGAGAATACTGGACATTGATTTATGAGGTGGACAAAACCACAACTTCAAATGGTAAATGGATGCATTCACCCATTCACACACACTCATTCTCACACCAATGACAGCAAGCTACCATGCAAGGTGTTTGTTAGACCACCTGAAGCAATTAGGGGGTCAGTGCGTTACAGGACACCAGGACAAGTGGACAGCAGGTGCTGGGGGTCGACACGCTCTAACTCCTGAGCCACACTTTAATGCCTTTTTCAAAAGATCTTGAGACTAAATGTAAAAAAGTGTCAAATTAGATGAGTGAAATATGGGATTTTATTCTTAACTGGGTCAGAATAAGGAGCCTCTGGTTTCATGAAATGAGATGATGAAAGCATTCATGTGACCTTAAATGCTCCGTACGCTGATGTGCGGTAAACCATGTATGTCAGAACTGGACAGCTTCTACATCAGTGAAGATGCGGGATGTCAGTGCAACACTTTCCAGGCTGGTTGTAGAAACTCTGAATAAATTGTTTGTGTCCTCATATAAAACACAAAAGACAAAGCAGAAGAGGTTCATAGGCCTGCGACACGAAGTTATCGTGTACGTGACAGCTGCTCTTCAGTGGCCACACTAATCTGAAACCACACAGCCGAATTGTTTGAAGAACAAAAGCCCTTACTGCTGCTTGACAGACATGTGCGGGAGGACGATCGAACGCCTGCCGCTCTTGAAAAGCTATCATTTGCATTGTGCTGTGCTTCCATCTGAGCACACTTCCTGTATACTGTCATGGGCCCAATACAAACAAACATTAGGCAAACAACCTCTGCAAAACGGGTAATGTGAAGATACATGAAGTCAAAGCAAACATCTTTCATTTCGAATGTGACAATACAGCTTTTATTTGTGAACACAAAATGACTTTTAAGAATTTTTTTCAACTATCTCAATGTAGTTTTACAACTCCTCTCTCAGGCTTCTCTCTGGAGCTGCAGCAATAAGGTCGGTGAGCCAATCAGAAGAGAGGAGTCTCTGAGCCTCTCTTCTGATTTGTTGACTGTTTTCTGAGTGATCAAATAAAAAATATAGTAGATTTCAGGTAAAACACTCAGAGAAACCAAATCCTGCAAGGTTGGATGGTGGGTCCAGGTGGGTGGGGCTTGGGGCTTGGCAGAGGGCGGGGCTTTGTTGTGACATCATGAAGTTACAGAAGTCCTGACGGCTGGTTTTAAGGCTCAGTTTCTGAATACAGGCTGTGTGCATTTCTCTGTTGGACTGAGGCTTTGATTCTTTCACAGTATTAATATAGAACCTAGACCTGATCTATAATCAAACAACACATGGACATCTGGCTTTATACAATATGGGACCTTTAAAACTCCTATCATATAATTTAACACCAATTACAACAACATTGACCAAGGAATCTTATGTAACTATGAGTAAAGTTTGAATAAATACAATAACAAAAAAAGATTTGTTGACAAATATGTTTATTGTACATGAAACATTCACATGCTACAGTAGAACATCAGGACGGTCAGCGATACAAAATCCATGCGTATACTCAGGCAACAACAGCAATGCATGACAGATGTAAACGATGATATTAGAGACTGACAGCAGGATGCGAGTCGAGGCTCGTGTGCAGCCAGCTGGAGGAGGTTTTGGTCCTGAAAAAGTGATGCTGTGAAAAAGAAAAAGAAAAAAGTCCCATGCTTTTCAGATGCACTTGAGCAGGTAGGAGTTGCAGTTGGCTCCTCTCCCGCAGTCGCAGAGCTTCCCGATGCGAGGCCCGAACTTCATGGCACACCGGTCACCCATCCCACACTGAGGAGAGGAGGAGGAGTGCAGAGAGATGGCATTAATATCTTTTCATTTCAAGAATAAAAAAAAAAATAGTCTTGTAAAAATTGTGCTTCATCTTTACCTTCAATTTTTCCCCTAATATATAGAAAATAATGGAGCAAATATTTGCACAGGCCTTTATGTTAATTAACTAATTTGCTTTGATTAATTGTTTTTCATTTCCTGTTGATTATTCTGATTTATTTGACACATGAGAATGAGAGAGAGAGAGAAGTTAATCATTCTTTTACGGTGAAATAATTCAATCCTGTTCATTAGCTCAAATTGAGCCTGTAGGTAACAGACTGATCCACTGAGGGGTCAGGAGAACTGAGAGGCTTCTGCAGCTTTTTAGCTTCCCTCTCTCGGCTAATTGGAGCTGGGCAGCAATCTTGATTAGTCTGTAATTGCACTGAGGGAAAGACCGTTGCTGGCATTTCCTTGTTATCTTTTAATTAGTGGCAGGTATCGTTTGCTAACTGGTTTAATTAAGAGCAGTGACTGAGCGCTGTCTCACAAATGACTGAGTTACACTCTGTTGTCCATCACGAGGAATAAGGTAAAGGTGTGCGTTCAGAGTTTCTTTGTAGTGAATGAAGTGGAGTTACCAGCGGGATGCTCCCTCTTTTCTCGGTGGAGGAAATCCGATTATGCATCCTGCCCAGCAGAGCCTCCAGTGCTTCCACCTGCTCGGCAGAAGAAGTTCATTCACACAAACAACAACATGAGGCCTGAAGTAAAAGTGTCAAACTGCAGCTCTAACGTCGTTCTACATGCCAGTATCACATGTTTATTCTGTATCTGCTGCTCCTAGTTTTTCATTGAAGCTACACGATACTTACAGAGTGGAACATTTCAACCTGAGACGTTGTGGTCTTTCTAGCCGCTCCCTCCCATGATATAGAAATATAAATATTGTTTTATTCATATTTCCCCCAAAATTCAACTTGACATTTGATATTTGGGAACTTTTGCACCTCCACTAAAAGTAAAAAATAAAGTTCTGTGGACTTCAACATGGATTGGCTGCACAGCATGAGGGGCTGGCAGAGTTTATGAGGTGTTGAGAATTAGGTGAATAAACTCTCCGTTCCCTTCAACAATCATGACAAACCAGTCAAAGAAAAATAAAGACTGATTTCAGAAAAAATTCAGATTTATGAATCTATTAAAGATCAATGAAGCAGAAATTTGTTTAACAAACTTACATGCAAAACTAACACAAAACTAATTTGAAAACTGTTGTTGAAATGTAAGTTCTCTGAGTTTCCTGTTTGGCTGAACTGAAGAAAACAGCTTATTAAAGTCCAAATACACACAGGCCTGTGAAGCTTAGGAGACGTGACCCTGCAGCATCAAGGATCTCACGATTACAGATATTCATCCATAAACTAACATCTGTGGAGCTTCGGATACTGACCAGGTCTCTGTCTGCGGCTGGTTCGGGTTTCTCCACTCCAAAGTCTTCCGCGGAGTTTTCCTGGGACGCCTGGCCGTGACACAGGAAGGACAGCAGGCCGACAAACAGCAGCCCGCGGAGCATCCCGGAGCTGTCCATAGTGCTGGTCCCGGTGGAGGAGGTGGAGGAGGTGGGAGGAGGAGGAGGAGGATTCTGCAGGTCCCGGCAGGAGGCAGCAACTCAGGACTGGAGGAGCAGAGGGTCGCAGCAGGGACACAGAAGATTCTCCCTCCACCCACCAGACTTTCTCCTCTCTTATATTGACTCTTATAGCCCCGCCCGCACTGCAGGATTAACATGCAGGAGAGTTTTGCATGGGGGCAGGCGGGGATGGATGGAGGCGCGATAAACCCACCAGCTCAGTTTTCTGTTTGCAGCTGGAAAGTATGAATAACCCCAGCAGCTCGTAGATGGTCCTTCTACTCAAAAAAAAAATCTAAAATAAAATCACTCCAGTCCACAAACACAGCAGCTGCAGACAGGTGAGATGATTGCCTGGGCACGTGCTTCCCCTCAGGTATGACGGATGGTATTAACGCTATTTTGTTTTTTTTTAACGGAAGTAAATAATGATTAAAGATTAAAATCTTATAGATATCTGAACATCTAATCCACTCACTACTGAATACTTCGCGTGCATGTCATGTCATTTTAAGGTGTGCACTTGTGTAGCCTATGTATTTTTAAGGATTTAAAAAATTAGACATTAAGATTCAAGATATGAAATTCAAACTTGAACATCCAAGATCACTGAGATTGAGCATTAACTATCAGTTTATAATCGATTTATGGGTAAATGAACAGATTACACATAGGTGATCTGGTCACATGGTCACATGGTTGACTATCAGAATGAATTCATACAGAGCTGTATGTCACCTGTATGTAATGACCACCTGTAGGCCCCAGACTGAGGCAGGTGCTTATTAAAGGTGAAGAAAATAGATCCAGGTGGTGAGGTCTCTCTTAGGTGTCACTATCATCTGGGGTTTTTTTAATCATAGGAGAACTGTAAGGCTGCAACCAGTGATTATTTTCATTACCAATTGGTCTGACAGTTATTGCCGTTAATAACTGATTGATTGTTCAGTGAATAAAATATCAGAAAAATTTCCCTCATTATTTCCTGAAAACCTGAGTTCACATATTCTAATGTCTCGTTGAGTCGACTGTCAGAGAAAACTAATGGAAATAACAATAATAATAACAATTTAATTATTATGTTGCCAATTAATTATCTATCAGTCAGCTGATTGATTAATCAGCAATTATTTCAGCTCTGGAGCACTGGTCGGTTTCTGGGTGCCCATGGGGAAATAATGAAACTGCATCGCGGGGGTCAATACTGGCCCCACCCAAAGAGTTAATCTCGCTGTGCTGGAGCAGACTTGATTCTCCAACAACTACCAATCACATTAACCTCTATAGTCTATCATTTATTTTGGGGATTTAAGGCATTATTATAGGGATTTTTCTATTTAGAACAATGACAAAGAAAAGGGTGGGTGTATCTACAGGTATCTATAGATGAAGGTGGCTAATTATGTCTAAGCAGCAAAAACTAGAACTCTCTAAATTCTGCTAAGTCACAGAGCTGTGACAACCTGCTAACTACTAATACTGTTAATAACACTGCTGGTCCCTCAGGACACAGATGTGTCCCTGTGCTGAGAGAGACAATAACCATCGCTTTCACACCTTCAACATATTGATTTACATTATAGCCAGAGGAGAGTGTGTGTGTGTGTGTGTGTGTGTGTGTGTGTGTGTGTGTGTGTGTGTGTGTGTGTGTGTGTGGTGTGTGTGTGTGAGTGAGTGTGTGTGTGTGTGTGTGTGTGTGTGAGGGGGAGGGGGAGGAGATGGATGTCCCTGTGTGTTTAAATGGAGAAGAGGAACATTTGAGTGTTTCTATGATACATTATACTTCCATTTATATATTTATAAATTTATATATATATTTATTTATTAATTTATTTATTTGGCCTCAGTCACGACCAGAACAGAACTTCTTCACAGGTGTAATTAATATCATCAATAACAGCTGCATCCCATTCAGGTGGTCCAGTTTTTGGGGCTGTGGTAAGCGAGGCCATCGTTAATGTTATCAGTTACACCTGTGCCCACTCTGCCAGGACAACAAAAAACATCTGACTTATTATGTTACGTGAATGATCATTTTTCATAATCAAAGTCCTGTGTGATGAGCTGGAGAAGAGTCGCTCCTCTTATTTCACTCCTCAGCCTCTGGGAAGAGTTCTGTAATGTTTTACCAGCTGAAAGAGCTTTTTATGGTCTGAGAAAATAACCACAATGTCATCACGACTTTGGCTTTGAGACACATTCTAACAGAGACGCAGCTTATTTTCTAATGCAATAAAAAAAATTAAAAAAAACCCTGAGCCACGGCTCATAATGTGACAATAATAGATGTTGTCAGCTGTTATAAATATCTTGGTGTTTGTCTTTCTTTTTTAAGAATTAAGAATTTTATTTAAGACAAAGTCCTACTTTTATTTGGAAGCGAACCACCTTCTTACCAGCTCTGGACTCTGTTCAACACATTAACACTTGACTCATCTCTGCACTCTGCATGTTTTGAGTCACTGGTTTATTTTTATTCATAAAGCTCTTCGGGTCAAACTTCCCTCTCATGTTGTCAGTAAATTTACAGTATGTCACACAGGATCATGAGGCGACGTGAGAACAGGTTGCAAAGGGAAATTGATTTAAAGGTCTAAATACAAGGATGTTGTAAACTCGATTGTTCATGATTTCTTTACTGTCTCTTGTCACTTTAGCTTTCTTCATATTGACGGTTGTTTTGTTCCATTCCAGCGTATTTGAGCCTCCGTACACCGTCACCTGGTTTATTTATGTTGTGTGAAACTTGTACCGCTGCCGTCCCGAAAAAGCAGTTTGTAACTTCAGTGGGATTCACCTGGTTAAATCAATCAATCAAACAGAAGGCCTGTGTTACATATTGGATGTGTATGTTGAATTGCATGTGGAAATGAAAAGACCTGTGTGTTTACCAGGCAGAAGGGGTCTAACCGGGGGTGCTGCTGGCTGTATTAGGATGGGAAAGTGTCATTAACATTATTGAAGCATAACATTAAATCCCCCTTTAAATTTTGCAGTGGAAAAAGTGAGTTGTCAGTCGACCTTTCAGTTAGAAAGTGAAAGAGAGGGAAATGATTAGCTGGCTGCCCACTCTGCGGCTGAGGAGGTTTTAGTTGTCTGTTTATGAACCAGATCTGCCCTCACCGCTGCTCATGCAGCACCTCTCAGAGGTTTGGGTGTCAAAGCAGAATTAGTCAAAAACGTCCACGGAAATCTGCAACTACAGAACAACAGAGAAAGTATCATTCACATTTATCAGCATTGTTTCATTACAGTTATTTCTAGTGAAATCTAATGAATCTCAAGTAGAAGAAATGCAGTTGTCGGCCAATCAGGTTCCAGCACTGTAACAGCTCTGCATTTCAACCACTGGACACTAAATCCAGCTGTTTTATTTTCATGACCGTGATAAGTTAAATTCAGGCTGCGCAGGTTTGACGAAATGATCTTAAATCAAAAACTTCAAATGCATCTCATGGTCTTCTTTGGCAGATGGAGTCTAGTCTATCGTCTTGGAGTTAGTTCAGTTGGTACATGTGACACCGAACCAAACAAAATAGGCTAATGAAGACTGTGGGAAATGGTTGAAAACTCCAGAAAAAACAAGTGTGTGCGCCTTGAGTTAAGATTATTTTAACTAACTTAACTTTAAGGTTTAGATTGTTCAGGGTTTAAAATGTCAGCATGAATGTTAACAACATTACTACACAAAAGAAAAACTAATCACTGCAAACTAGTTATTAAAATTCAAAATAAGAACATGTATGAATACGATATGATAATTTTCCAAACCCACATTATTCTTTTGGTTGTTTGTTTGTCAGATTTGACTGTAAAACTAAATTAATAGAAAACATTTTACTGTTGATTTTCTCACACAAATAATTTAAACTTCACAAATGTTTTAAATGTTCCTGCAGAATATTTTCCTTGCACTGAGCCTTAGTCTTAATCTTTATATTATTTGTTATTCTCTCTGCGAACTGCAAGGCTCCCACTGAAGGGCCCCTGTTTGAAAGCCTCCAGGGTCCCCTCCTCGCAGCGGACAGCAGGGGGCGCTGCGCCGGAGGTTGTCCGCCTGGAGGCTGCCGAGCTCCGTTTCCTGAAATGCATACTTCAGGATTAGGAAGAACACACCCAGTGACATCAGTGAGGTTTGAAGAAGAAGAAAAAGTCTCAACTCAAACTGTGCAGAGGAGGAACAGGAGGGCCGAGAGGTCCCGCTCGGTTTTCTGTCGGTTTTGAGAGTTTTTTTTTTTTCTTTTAAGCTCCGGAGAGTTTGGGGACCGAAGCGTCCAGACCGCGCGTCAACTTTTTACTGAAGCGAACCGCGGAGCGCAGAGAGACGCGAGGATGTCAACTTCAGACGACACGGACGGGCTCCGGCCGAGATATGGCTGTAAGTTCAGACTTTTTCTCTGCTCACCTTGAGATGCCAGGCGGGCGGCTCCCCCCCCTCACAGATACTCAGGGAGAGGCAGCAGCCCCGGGCCACAGCTCCAGACTCTGTTCATGCAACAGCCTCCGAAAACTACAGAAAGCGCCGATTTATTTGTACAAAGCGCGCTCAGGCTGATCGCTTTTATTTCTGACAGCATGGTTACAGCCTGATTGTGACTTCCGCGTTTCTTTACTAATGCATCGCAGAGAGGAGAGAGAGAGAGAGGGAGGCCTGCTTTTAGAGTTTACACAACTTTTTCCACTCTCTGTACACGTTAGTGTTTACAGCCCAGGTCACTGTGAACACTTAATTCTGCCACATGTTAAAGCAGGACACAGGAAATAAAGTTCTGTGTCAGAGTTATACATAGAGATGAAATTAGCTACTGAACAACCACCGCCCATGGATTTACAAAAAAAAAAAAATTTTTCATCAGAATTTCAAAATAAAACTTCACACTTCATCCATTCCATCAGATTTGGAGAAGGAGGAGTAGTTTGCTCAGCAGACAGATCCCAGTGGTTCAGTTTTTAAATATATGTCAGTGGTGAAGCAGTTTTTGTTAAAACCAGGACTTGGCTGCTCTTGCTGTTTCCTTGTGAGGCTAAAACCTCCCACCTGAGATGTGACAGGAGGCTAAATAGGGGCCTCTTTG